GTTGCTAGATATAGCAACAGAGGGGCAACGAGAATGTGAGTGGCTGAAGGGTTAAGAAACTACCACCGCTTTCTACTCAGATCATCCGCTCCAGCCGAAGCCTCCTGCATCCCTGGCCCACTTGCGACTTACGAATAGTTTCTTACTCTCCGAGCAGGATCACTGCTCTCGCGACTCCACTCTGGACGGCCAATGAAGGCAAGCCAGGTGGGAGACCCGTTCCTTGTCATCGTTCACTCTAGCCAGCCAATTAAGGCAAGCCGGAGAAAAAGGAACGGTGACTTCTACCTGGAGCACTCGGGATGATGGTAGCCCACGGGATCGCTAATGCCCGTCACCTCACTAACCCATTTTAATCTTTCTTTCTCTCTTTAAAAAGGGAAACGTAAGACCTATAGTGAACAAAAATTAAAATTTAAAGGTTTTATTTTTGTTAACTATAGGTCTTACGTTTCCCTTTTAAAAGAGAAAAAAAGATTAAAATGGGTTAGTGATTTTTCATTTTTACAGTACAGTACAAATAATTTAAAAACCAAGAGTCAGTATTCACTACTTCGAGTTAGTTAATTTTCGTTTTCGTGCGTTTTAGCAAACTATTGATTTCAAATATTAACTAAATCATTGTAGTGATTTTTAATTTAACTATTGACAAGTCTATGCATTCACAATTGAACAGGAAAATAATTAAGTGGACTTAATTTTAAGTTATGCAATTTTTTCGTAAATGTATAATTAATTAATTAAGTTAGTTATTTCTCCAATTATGATGTGGAATCCAAAACATATACTTATTTATTTTTCACATTCCGTAAAACAAAAACGACGACAGCTACATAAATACCGGTTAGACTGATTTATAGAGAAATAAAAGTTCATTTTAATGATAGTGATAACTCATTTTGGTAATTTTTGGACTTAGTTAATTTTCGCTCTACGGGGACGGTGTGTCTTTTGGATGTTTGATTGAGGTATGTTATACGATTTATATTAATATAACACTAATATAAAAATAAAATGTTGCCCCCACACTAGTATTTTCTCCTGTGACGTGGGTGCGTTTACAAACTTACAATTTCACATACACATGACAGCCGTTCCAAAACAAAAATTCGTGAATCACACAAAGAGTTTCTCCGGTACGGGAATCGAACCCGGCTGCACGCCAGCCGGTTGCCTGGCTAACGCGCCAACAGTGCAGTCACAATATTAATTATAGCTGTTGCCCACAACTTCGTCCGCGTAGAATGACTTCAGCAGAATTTAGGCTTTTAAATTAAACTTTACCAAGGGACATTCCACGGTAACAAAACAATGTCGTCAGACTTGATTCAGTACTTAGGTTATATTTATTTTCGTGATTTCAAAAAATAAACAATCCCACCGGGGTTTAATCCGTACAAAGCTCGCCTCGTGAAGTTTCAGTGATTAAAACTATTCTATCCTGTTTCTTGGTTGCAAACCATTTTTGTACTGAATTTCAATCAAATAGGTACAGTGATTTAAAAGGTATAGAGTGTCGTAATTTTAACGCATACCTATCCCCTTTGCTGTAGGATTCTCGGAATAAAATATATATAGGTACGTCGTTTCCTAGGTTCTAAACTACGGTTGTACCGAATTCCTCTTTTAGATGATTTCTTTGGATAATTGTTTATTTCTTTGGTTGTTCACCGATTACTCCGCCATTTGTGAACCGATTTGTTTTGGCTATAACTACTCTCGAGAGGGTCCCATTTTCGTCAGGTTAGAATCTGATGATGGAATCCTAGGGAAATCAAGGGGATTTTTTGAAAATTGTAGTATGTTGTTCAATAAAAAAATTGTAAACATTAAAATTTGATAAGACTCTAAAGTCGACCTAATAATGGACTCGATCATATGTATAGATAGATATGTCATGTAATAATTTCGTTAACATTTTGTGAGTTCAATTGTAATTAATTACATATTAACAAAACGATGGCACATATTTATTAGGTATTCCCCAATAAAGAAGCAGTAGTGGACACACTTAATGCCACAATATACCTATTTAAGGGAATATAGTATGAATCATAGATAGTACAATAGATTCAATAAGTATTCCTTATCACTCTACTTGACCAATTTCCGTTCAAATGACACTAATTTGACGCTGGCTAGTACAAAGATAACGTGACCTTGGCATAGTAGGAGTATAATTACATTTTGTAAATTATGTCGACGGTTTTTCCAAGGTATCTGTATACCTTGGAAATACTATAGGTAGTAGGAAGGTACAGACCTTGCTTGGAAATACAGTAGGTGAACCTACTCCTTACTGTCAAACTTTATTGATATTCAACTTTATTGTTTTGATAGAAAGTCGATAATATACCTATTGAAGAAAATTGATAGATTTGAATAGTTTGTCCGTAGTCTGTACTTACTCATTGATGTACAAAATTTTCATGGAATCCGTATTATTCTTTGTTCACATTTGTTACGCAAGATATATGATCACGAATGCGGTTGGTCTTTATGACAGAAAGCTCTGGAACTGTAAAAATTTTGTAATTAATAGAAAGATTTTAGGCCAGTATCCATGCCCAAATAGTCATAGTCATAGTGGCATTTGCCAGCTAAATCCGTTATTACACAAAGGTTTCTTACTCCACCCATCTCCAGACGACTTCAGATTGACGGAGGGTTCAATTATATTCTTCTATTGATATCGAAAGCCACTCCGATCTGAACTCTGAAGTACTTATACGTTTATCTCTGTTATTAAAACTTTCATTCATGTGCAATGTAATATACGGAGTAAATGACTAATGACTGATTTACCTGCGTCATACGCACAAAATGACAAAACTGTCATTGGAACCAAGCGAGGATATGATAGCGACGTGCTTTTGCTCACAATGCACATAATTATGACGGAGTTATGAATCCCCATTTCCGACCACAGAAACCTTAACGTTGATTAATCATCGAAACCCTTCATATCTTTCTTTCTTTCAAACAAAACAGTTGATCTATCAACTTCGAATACCTATATTTAAAAGCTTCCAGTACGCACCTGTATCATTTGTGGACTCGTCACACCATGACTTTAACCCTGATAGGTGATGCAATACCCTTAGTAATGATGCTTAACTGACTTTAATACAATAATCATTTTACCTATGCTATATGACGATCAGAATATAAAGTGTAATATGTATTTCGTCTTCTTCGTTACAATAACGGTCTGTGTTCGAATAAGTTCCTGTTAAATTAACTGATAAATATTTTGACTTTGACACATTTCATATGAAGAACACGTCAAATTATTGTCACGCCAATTGAACTAACGTAAACATATAAAAAATGAGCCACATTGCTTGATTGGTCCTTCGAGGCGCGTGTTTACAAACGACAAATAATTACTATCGTAAAACCTGGATTAAGGAAAATTTTATTTATATTAATACACATGCTTGCCAAAATTGCATAGCTTCAACTGCGCATTATAAAACCCTGCACTGGTAGTCCCGTTAGATGGTGCGTATGACTAAGATCTTGTCAACAAATGCCACGATTTGTAAAAGATAGGTTAAACAAGGTTACGCGAAGAAACCTGTCTATCTATATCGGCGATTTGATAATACTTATTCGAATTGAAAAATGTAATTCTATATGATTGTTATTTATTACACACAGTAGGCGGCTTACTATCGGTCAATGACATTTACAGTTCGATGATTCATCGTTATTATTAGATTACATATTTTAATTTCACACTGTCTGAATAATTCTTTGTAGATTTTGTGAAAATCAGAATTTCGGCTCAGTTTTCCTGTTTTCTTGTTTTACGAAAACAACTTTCTGTGTTTTAATTTTCCTTAAAGAAAATAACTCTTATCCGAAAATATCTCTTCGAAATGTAATTTCTCTTGTTGCCGTCATGTACTAAATTTAGAAGCTTAATAAACTTTGACAATGGCGATTTACCTGATTCCAGATTCAACTTGTTTCCGAACGGAACTGTATTACTATAACAAAAACTTATCCAATTTAAAAGTTAAAAATTCTTAGAAGCTAAGACAAATATTAACCTGTTTTAATTTATAATAAAATAATTATGTTGATGAATGAGTCGTTTTGACGAATTTGTAATAAAAAATAGACATATCTGGCTAAAGAAAAAGTGCTGTCAGAGATAAGCTAAGGTTGTTCACCTATCGCTTTTATGAAATTTGATTCAAACTTAAACAATAATTTATTCGTACTTAAATTACAATTTGTTAAACGTTATTGGAGATAACTCGCTATGCGTCACTAGATTTAATTACTCATAAGGCCCGAACGGCAAAAAATTAACAGCTTTATTTTTTTTGCCGATGGCAATAATAGTTGGGCTTTATGGTCTTTAAATCCTCAGGTTACGGGACAATAACTTGAAGTACAAGTTGGTACGTGTTTTCGCATTATTCTAAGTAAACTACTTATCACGTTGTATTTTTGTAACATTGTGTCGATTACGGATCTCTTATAATAATAATTATGTTTAGTTAACATTTCGACAAATTTGCACAAGCCATGGTTTTAGATAGAAGATTTGATGAGAATTCGCGTTAGGTCACCTATTTGTACATACTTTCCGCATCATTGGTTCTTCAGTTTATGTAATCGTAGTTAGGTACTACAGTTTTCCATCCGGCCTTGGCAATCGAGCAATCATAGTACGGTCAACGACATTATGTTCTCGAATTTTTTAAATATGTGCTTACCTGTTTACTTGTCTTGTTATGTAGGTGGCGTCTATTGGCAAGGTCGTATGTTTAAGTCATTGGTTGTTCTCAGTATGAAACTTAATTTACATGCATATACTAGTGCCATAGATAACACGAAGATACGGTCTTTGATTTTCTTTTATTTATTTGTTCATTTGTTTTTCTTTTGTTTCTAAGGTGTGTTAAGTGTAATTATAGAGCTTATGTTTAGTTGGTTAAGTTCTCATTTTGTGTGTTCTTTTAGATGAGTAGTGAGCTAGAAAAATGGACAAGCACAAAAGGCTACTGCTGCAGAAGTATCAGCAGGACATCATTGATGATCTAGATGTGGCATACGTCTACGATGAACTGTTTGCGAAGCACGTTATTTCAGCTGATGAGGTCGATCGCATGTTCAGTCTTGTAAGTAACTGCCACATTTTTCTGACAGAAAATGCCCGTGTCTTATTTTTAGCAATAAGTCAGGCACATAACTCGAATTACTAGTACTTTCAGTTTTAAAAAGGAATCATTTGCTTCTCGCCTTTCTTCTAATTACTAATTAGCTATGGTTTATTCAATAAGGAAAATTATTTACGTGAAGTTGTACCCATGGAAGTCTTATCAAAGAAGTACCAACCAATTACGTACGTCAGTATAATTTGTGTTGTTTTGAACCTTTATGTAAGTGTATGATATTAATTAGTGTTAAAAAAATAACAATCCTAGTAAAGTTACTTGCACTAGCAAATAAATTTTTATTTCATTTTGATAATGCACCGAATTGTGTAATTAGTTATTAGTCAGTCAGTTTACATCTCCCGTAGAAGAAGGTCGTGTCGTGGCCGTGACGATACTTAAATAAATTCTCCGGTCAATGTTTTGTATGTTTACTTTTCTTACAGACGACTCGCATCGACCAAACTCGGTTTCTATTAGACTCGTTGATTCGCAATGGTACCAACGGGACATATCAAGTTTTTGTAGACAGCCTGCAAAAGGACTACGGGTGGCTTTGGGAGAAATTGGCTATTGAGAACAATAATCCGATGCCTGATGATAGCTTTGAGGACAGCCTCAGCAGGGGTGATGTGCCTAGACCACCGGATCACCATGTCAGAAGAACAAAAGTGGTAAGTGATTCAAACTTTTTATGCCATTTTGATTGTGTGTACCTCTTGTGTACACAAAGCACCGCTAATTAGTTGCAGCGCTACACATCGACACAACTGTCATTTACACAGTGTACATGTGTGCGTAATTTCATATAACTGTATATAAAAATATTCGTCCACCACGTTCACATTGGTATTTTCATTCTTGTGTCGGTATACGTATTTTTATAATTTAATGCATAGGTAAGGTTAAAACTATTTACAATCATTGATATGACCCGACATTTTCACTGTCATTATTGTAGTGCTCGTGGTCGATTGGTTAATGAGCACGCTTTTATCGTCTTTCAAGGATCAATGATGTGGGTTCTATTCCAGCTAAAAGTTAATTTTATTTTACCTTGTTATTTTTCTTATTTTTTTTTTTTGTTTTTTGTCATAAAATATAAATATCAGGCTATAAAAGAAGCAAATGAGTTGGTAAATAAAACAATACTATTTTTTATTACAATTAATTTATTTATTATACAAATATGTTGTTTTATATTCAATATTTATATCTAATAATTAATTATATACCACATGTTAAGTTTAAAGTTCTTTAAATCATAATTAATAGATATGACAATAAACCTCATAGTCGAATCGGGAAATATCATGCGGTACAGCGGTAATACGATGGCAGCAACATTTTTTATTAAGTAGGTAATAAACAAATATACAACATTCTTGTTTTGTAATTTATAATATAATGTATTATTAAATTACAGTTTTACAGTAATAAACAAGTAAAACATGTAAAAAATTACACTGTCAACATAATATTCTTGAAATGGGCGACTTTTTGTCGTTTGAACTTCCATTAATTATCTATTTTACGACGGTTGTTATAAGGTTCAATATTCAGTGGGCTGTATGATAGTAAAAAGAATGTGACGAATGCTATGGAACGATTTTAACTTTCATGACCTTTAGAATCAGGGAAACTTTAAATTAATTGAAGATGGGCGTAAATATAATATGTCAATCAAGTTCGAAAGCAGTTAAATAAATTTGTTAATGAAAAATTAAAGTGAAGTGAATAAACATGTTGAATAGAAAGAAATTATGACAATTTCTAACCACAAAACAATAACATCACTTCACCGTATGTTATAGACAGCATTTTAATATTCTTAAAAAAATTAAACATTATTTATGTTAATTTTAATAAAGGCAGAGTTTGACAGGCTCAATAATTGATTCCGAAATCAATACAATCACTGATCCTACAAGGCAGAAGGTTGCAATTCGTATACCTTTCTCCATCTTTTCTTCACAATATTTTACGCCCATCCTTATCCGACTTGAAAGTCTTTTCGTCGCTCAATATGATTACACTGTTCGCCCAATCAAAATTAATAAAGTCCTTAGCAAATTCTTAGCGCTTTTGCTGGTGAACCACAGATAACAATATTTTCTTCTCTGGCTTCCTGCACCTTAAACCAGAATGCAGGTGTCTCCGTACAGTTTGTATTAAAACATTCAGTGCTGTCGCTGTAGTGCGGGTTGGCAGGAACGGATCAGCCATGTGCCTGGCTACGATGTCGTAGTGCCGAGCCGATGAATTTGCCTTTGGTTTAGGCCCACGTCGACGATGTTTAACGTCACCGGTCTCCGCATATCTGTGCACCCATAACTGCATGGATCTCCTCTGTTGATACCAAACAAATAAGTATTTAAAATACCAGGAAATACTTTACAGGAATTAAAGTTACTTAAAAATAATAATAAATATAAGTAAACACAATGTTAGAATAATAATTTATAATTAAGTAGTGGCGTAAGGAATAAAAATCCCTAACCAGATATGTTTTAAAGAAACACTCCTAACAAAAACAAGTCAAGTTACAATACAATTAATAATAAATTATTAATATATCTTTATAATATTGAACTTCATAATAAGTTGCAATAATTATTTTATTCTAGTGCAAAAATTGATAGGTGTGTCGAGTTACAAAATGAAATAAATATTATTTAGAATATCAACGTAGTATCTTATTTACTCACCGATATCATTAAACGCCTTGCTATTTCAGTTATTGTTAGTTATGTTTTGCTCATGCAAAACAATGGTTTCAGCCTTTTTAAATGTTGATAGGTGTTGGAACATCTTGTAAAAATAAAAATAACTTTGCACACGAATATAAGTAGTGTAGCAATAAACTATGAAATCCTCATAAATTGACAACTAAGAACGCAATTATTTTGTAAGTCGGGTGATTTGAAAAACATGTTTTAAATAGTCGGTAGTTACTTCATAAGCGTGTAAAATAAAATGACTCGAGATTTCTATGGTCGCCACAAACATTGCAAATATACTCAGGTATCGAACCATTAAGAAATCACAGTTAATTACTTTTTTACTGTTTTTATCTTATTTAAGTTGGTTGAAATGCATGAAGCAAATGAGATTATTCTAAATAATAAATAACTAGAACTAAAATATAAATAAAAGATATTATAGGTATAAATAAATCTAAAGTATTTACTATTAAAATTAACATAAGATTTAGAACAATAGGAAAGGAAAAAAAAAGAAAAGATTTAATTGTTTCTAATTTCAAATTTTTGATAAATTAATTCTAAAACAACATGTGAATGTTGGAATCGATCCGGCGGCACTTTACTTGACAATTGGAGGCGATAACCATTGCGCCAAGCGCGCTGTAGATGAGATCATCGAAATATTTTATATCATTCAGTAACATAAAATTACAATGAGAAAGCACTATATTTATATGGGTATTGTATAGCTCGATCGTTCATTATTTTTGATTTCGATTTATTCAAAGTTTGTTATGAGTAATTTTATCTTTACCCTCGTTTTTATTTAAACTTATTTACTAAATTATTGCGTATACCGACACAAAAATGATTTTTAAATACCAAGATGTGTGTGATAGACGAATGTTTCTATACATATCTATTGATATGAAATTACCCACACATGTATATTGTGTAAATGATAGTTGTGTCGATGTGTAGCGCCGCTAACTAATTAGCGGTGCTTTGTGTACATCTTGTTTGTGTGTACCTCGACGTAGTAAGTTTATGTTTCATTTACTGGCTTATAAAGACTAGAATTGCGTGTCTATATGAAGTGTAAAGTTATCTTTTACAGCTGTGTTACTCGTGTAGTCGTGTATTGTAATCCGTATCTTGGTAGAAGGGTGTGATGGTTACTCCTGATAAAATAATGACCTATTTATATTTCTGATTTAAATGCACAAAATTCTTGAGAAAGAAAAATGAAAATCAGACCAGACTGGTCTTGTTTTTATGTGGCTTTTTGATGTGGGACGTTTTGTTAGTTTTTATGAACAATTTTTACCTTCGTTTTTGTCACAGTGCCAAAATATTTTTACTGGCGTATACACACCTACTGCTTGCATTAAATGGAATTTGAATAATTTCCTTCATGATTTCTTCAAAAAATAATTATAGTGTACAAATTAGTCTAAACATTAGTATGTTTGTTATTTGAAATATATTTTAATGTTTTGCTAATCACATTGACAACTACATAGCGAACATCAGGCGAATCATTTCGTACGTGCGTCAATTGATGTTTTTTTATTTATAGTCTTATGTACACACGGCTACAAATCGAGCTTTACATAACCAGTATAAACTGAACGTTAAATGTGCGGAAAGATGATGCGACGCGACACCAGGATAAACTGGTTTTGTATAGATTGATGTGTGGCCGGGTGTAGACAGTAAAACTATTTACAATTCGTTTTGCTGTACTGTTATTTATTATTCTGTTAACGTGGAAGACTTAACAAATGGCTCTAACTGAATGCTAGCACTTCCTCGGAGAATCGGCGTCCAACAACGGCAAGCTGTGACAAACGTTGTGATTCGTTGTATGATGATGATTATCGAAGGCCCAATTCTCTCCTACTTTCTTCCCATCTACAATTTCCCAATCAGCAATTTCCAAATTCCCAACTGTTGAGGCACCTGTCTCAACATTGCCGGGCGCGCCCGCGCGCCAGCGGCAGTGAACGAGGGACGCGGGGGGGTGCGGCTCGCCGGCCGGTCTACAGCCGAGCCCGCGCCCCGCGTCGCGCCAGTCAGCAGCGGTGGCACGCCTAGACGCACGGCTGCGCTCACGCATTTTTATTACATGTTGCCATATTTCGTATTATTTCTTGTTATTCCGTTATTATTTAATTTCATTACATTTTATATACAGTCCACTCGCATTTTTTATTTTATCACATCGACGATCAAGCTATCGTCGCGTTTATTGGTCCTTCTACCGTTAACGTTTGAACCGAACAAAGAAAGTCGTCGGCAACGGAAATTCTTCACATTTTCGAAAATCAACGGTCCAACGGTTTCAACCGTCGCTTGGAGAACAATAGACTTCGTCTTCGAGTTCAAGTTTCGCAAGTGATCATCATATTCTTCGTGTCATCGCCTGCATTTGGTCATCGTGAGCATCGATACGGCAGCAGTCGTCTTCATCGAGTGCACATCCAACGGGCGGCGCAAGAAAAAATCACCGAGACTTCGGAACAAGAAGACTCCTCGAGTCTACACGTCGGTCTTCTCTTCGGACAGTCATCAGCTCATGAGCTCATCAGAGGTTGACAGCATAAAACCGTGAGAACGTTCCAATTCCTTTGCTCCAATATTTTGCCATTTTTGCTTTTTTAATTTCAACTTATTTAGTGGTTTCTTTCAAATAATAATTCCATAAATCCATAATCTTCAGCCTATCAACTTGTATAAGCAGTGTTTTGTTATTGAATGCAATACCAGGTTTAAAAAAAAAGTCCGTTACAATTGTGACCAAATTTTATTTTTTCAAACTGCCAATCACAATTCCTCATATTTCATGTAATTCTAGTCCATATTATTTGCATTATTTCAGTGATTTAATTGATTTTATTTTTGTTTGAAATTTCGTGTGCACAAAAGTGTTGCGTCATTCGCACTTAGCATGAACAATTGAAACGCCT